TGTTGACTTAAGACAACTGAGTTAAACCGTAGAAAACTCTCATATATTCAACTCTTAAATTAGGTTCTGCCATTAACAAATAGCAACATTCTAAGACAATAAAATATAATGTTCAAAAACTACTAAAACTTATCTGGCTTTCTAAATAAGCTATAAATAGGCTCTTAAAATATTATAAACACTTGGATTAAAGAATTATGTCACCAAAAACAAATATTTTTTATGTCCGACATTTATGTGGGAAATCTAAACAACAGAGCTCTCTAAGATTTCTAACGAAGAGAAAATGCTCTATCAGTTATAAACAAGTTCATCAGACTTGTAAGGCTACTATAGTGAATTTGACAAACTTACTGGTATATCAGCAAAGCAAGAAAATGCTCTATCAGTTATAAACAAGTCCATCAGACTTGTAGGGCTACTATAGTGAATTTGACAAACTTACTGGTATATAAGCAAAGCAAGAAAGTGGAGGTTCAAATTTTAGATAAGTGCTTGTAATTAATTAATTACCTTTAGTTTGTTTCTAATGATCTGGATACTCTAAAAGCCATATTATGGAATATATATGAGAAAATTCAGAGCCCAGACACATCATGTGATGCAGAGAAATTAAGATTGAGAATTTTTTAAATATTTCCTTTTAAACTGTTTTGATGCCACGTTTGTTGACATACATTGAAAATAGTTGTTTAATTAAGTTATGAATGAAACACTGTAAAAGAAAATGACATGCACATTTTGATCCAGTTGTAAGAAAAGTTAATAAGAGATGGGGAACTAGACTGCTAAATACTGTCTAATACTACTAACATCTTACATAATTATATAAAAAAAACTGTTAATTAAGTATAACTAATGAACTGAAAAGTAAGATATCTATGTTTTCTACAAACTAAATCTTCCAAACTAAGTCCTATATTATTTAATGCATCATTTACAACTGAATGCCAAAATTATTATTTTTTTACAGAACGTCTTATTACACAGTAGGTACCTTTCTTAATATCTTATTTATAAACAAAAAACTCCTCATTTCATAAAATCAAATATTTGTTCTAATATAATGCACATTTCCTTTTTTTAAGAAACATTATTTTCACAGAAAATCTTAATTGGAAGATTTGTACAACAGCTTCAAGAATGTAATTTTTCTAACAGTATGTGAAACGTGTAAAATCTTGCAGGGTTATCATTACTATTTTAGGTAGAATACGGGTCTGAGGTACTTCAGCACATATCAAAGATTCAGAAGCATAGTCCCCTTGACTGAAATGGAATTTTAAGCATTTTTAGGATGGCTAAGTCTTGTTTCTTGAGTTATATTTTAAGCATTTTCAGGGCAACTAAACCTTGTCTTTGGAGCAACATTTAAAGTTAAAAAACTTGTTTTCCAGGATATTAATCAATTTGTTTACCCCATCTGATGTTGCAGTTATTCTTGATTGTGGAATGGATTTTAGATGATTTTTTGTGCAGGGTTGTGCTAGTCTTCCTGAGGCAGAATTTTATAAAAGAAGTTTGAAGATGACTTTACAGGGTTTTCAGTGATTTTATGAAGTAATCGAAGTAGATTATCATAATACTGATCTCTACTTGCAAAGAAGCAGGAAATATTTCATTAAATTTTCAGTTCAGAAACTGGCTGGTAAAAATTTGTTTGCGATACATTTGCAATGGAACAAAAGTGAAATTATTAAGAAAATTTCTGATTTTTTTTCTTACTTTAATATTCTGATACAAAGATAACAAAATGCATGAAGTCCATTTAAATAATGAAAGAAAATTATTCCCCAGAAACTTGTATATCTAGGTTCCCACAGAATTAAGAAAAATGCAAGTTTTCCACAACTGACCACTTGCACTGTATGATGAATAGACATTCTACAAAAGCAGAAAAAGAAAGATTTCATTACGATAAATGAATTGTGCCATGCTTGATGTCTTGTCCAACTCTTGGGAAGGGCTTTGCTTAAGGGAATGGTGTAATGGGTTCACATCCGTAGGGGACACTGTGCTCAAGTTTTCCATTGATAATCTAAACATACTAAGTAGCTTTTCATGTGATTGTTTTTTTATACATTTTATATCATACATATAGAAATATAGAAAAGAAACATATGAATTTGTTTTACAGACCTAGTTCCTTTCTGCAAAGCAGCTGCTAGACTTATACAATTAATAACTTTATCACAAACTTGCAATTAAATACAATCCTACAGACTTGTTTTTCTGCATTTCATTTCGAACACACTCATCCAGTCAATGGGTTGTTTTTATAACCCTGAATTTGTAGTAAAATTTAAAAGTATCTAACATTTTAATTATTAACAATTTTACTTATGTAAAATGAAGTATATTAATAACACAATATTCTTGTAAACAGTGGTAAATGAAAATAATTTACTAGTTATGTTAGCTGAAAACATAACTGCTGAACACAGTATTCATGCTTAACTTTATTCGTGTCTTTGAAAAATCTACAGTTTTTACTTGCTTTCTATATGATTCAGTCTGTAGTTCTGATTTAATAACACTAAAAATTGCAATTTTAAAGAACATATAATAAAATTTACAAACTAAAAGTAATTTTTTTTAATGTGATGCTCTTTTATTCATGACAATATATATATATATACAAATATTTTGCACAATAAGTAAGAATATTGCATTCAATCAAATAGATAAACTAGAAACTTTTGCTTCTTGCACCCGAATATTTATAACTTCCAATTTTCATTCACAGTAAGATTTCAAAAACATCATTCCAAGATTTGATTCCATAATTTGATTGAAAACGGTTTATGGAGTGACACATTTTTTAGATAAAATGTGCTTTGGCAAAGTATTCATATTTCACACTGTGTTTAACTGCAGAAAAAATGTTTGATCTGGGCTAAACTGAAAAAAGTTCCCATCTCTCTCTCTCTCTCTCATATTTTTTATAAAATACACACAAACTAAATACAACTTCACCTCCTTTTCTCCACATAGTAAAAACAAACATAATTCAATTTTTGTCTTTCCATTTTCGTGTCAAAAGAAGAGAAGAACTGGTTTCATAGTTATATAACACTATAGACACAATATTATCTTCACTCAAAATTTTACCTATTCACTATATTCAGAAATATATAATCTCTGTCATATGCTTGGTAAAGGAAGTACACCTTTAAAAGGTCAAAATTTAAGCCCTTTTCCACACTTTTGTTTCTACTATCAAAATGAGAAAACAACCTGGCATTGACATTATATTCAAACTTTTAAACATAGTACTTTAAATGAAATGCTTGTGTACAATTAATTATGGCAACTGACAGTATGTTTATTATGAATAAGAGACAAAGCATGCTTGATGATGGTAAAAACATTCTCAGGCTGAGAAATTAAAAACGTTAAGCTAAGAGTATACTCTTGCTTAAAATTGACTTATGCTCCTGGGATGAGAGACATGAATTATCTTTGAAGAGAAGAAACATACAATTCTACATTTTTTATCCTACAGATATGTAGAGTAATGCAACACATATTATTCAAATAAATAAACAGATATATCCAAATATTATTAAAAGTAATAACGATTCCAACTGAGATGGGCTACATACACATCTTAACTACAGCAACAGAATAATACATTGTTTTACTATGCAAGAGAGAGATATTAAGACATTCCCATTGTAACAAATTTGTTAATAATGTAGAGTAAGACTAATCTATCTATCTATCTATCTTGTTGTTTAGAATCAGTTTATATTTAAAAGTAGCTTAGTGTTAGAAATGCATTGCGAAACTCCTGCATATTCTCTAAAGTTATATATCTATATAAGTAAACGTTTAAGTATAGCTCAGTATTGTTTGTTAAATAAGACTGAAATTTCTAGAATGCCTCCACACAGCGATAAATACATTCATTGCGATGCACCAAAAAAGGAGTGTCTATTAGTAGTTCGCTATAATGAGTGTGCTATTTATAACGATTATCAATTGGAAAATTTAAGATATTTGACCAGGATTATTTATAAATTTTGAACGTTACAAATCGTTTAACTTCAGTGGATTCTTATCGGACATTAGTATTTTTACGAAAATATTACCTAACGTTAACGGACCAAAATTTCAGTGTGTGTGGCCAAGAAGACAAAGCTAGCTAGCTCCCAGCAAATCATATCTACATCTACTTGAAACTAACTTGCTCATATTAAACCCTCGATATCTTATCGAGGGAGTTCCAAACTAGAAAGAAGATTTTATATTGTTTGTAAGTTTGTGGAACGTTTGTTTATAAATCTTTGTTTGTAATAACTATCTGTAATAATTGTTATTTTAATTTGTGTTGTTGTGTATATTAAAAAGTATTTGTGTTAAAAACAAAAACGGTGTGTATCAATCTTGTTGGCAAATATCGTAAACTGACTATATATCAGCATATATTTAAATACTAAATCCAAAGCACAATTTAACTACAAAATTTAAATTATCAGTTAACGCGGCTTCGGACTATTTCAAGCTCTAATACGTAACACCCATACATAGGTTCACTAGTTTTCTTGCCAGTTAAAATTGGATGAAAATATTTTAATTTATTTGCACATCACAGTAAGTAACATTTGTTGCTATATGACAAACTCAAAATACATTTCCTGGCATA